AAAAAAAAAAAAAAAAAAAAAAAAAAAAAAAAGAAAAAGAAGACAACTTACACATAAAAACAAAAGGATTTATAGGATAATGTTTGTACAAAGGTATTTCTGTGTAAAATGTTTAGTATTCAAGATAAAATCAAAATATCATAAACACATCATCATATTTACATAAATGAAAAATATATTTTAGAGATCAACTTTTGAGAAGATTATTATAAACCATAACTGATATTCTATTAAATTATGCAAAGAAAAATATAATTTCTCAAAACTAAAACTTACCTAATGGTGAATTATAGAATCTTTGTCCAGTATATCGATGTGGTAATACAAAAATTGGCTTGCTAGCTTCAGTAGCAGAAGAACTACGCACTCTTTGACGTGGTCCCACATCATCTTTACTGCTACTAGAATTGCTCATAGAATTCATAATAGCAGCATGCATATTATGTGCAATATTGTTGTCTTCAGCTTCCATCCACAATTCACCACCACCAGTGACTGCTGAACGACCTACTTCCATATAGAAAATACGATCCATATATCCACATCTTCTGATGCAAATTAGCTATAAAATAAACATTTTGTATTAATTTCTATTTTTTTAATAAAATAATAAAAATTTATTTTTATAAATCTTATCTGTATTTAAATAATGAACTTACAGGAAATTCTATAGAATCTGAATTATCCTTTGCTCCAATTTTTACTAGGCTTAATGTTCTATCAGTTAAACATAATCTATAGGGACCATGAATATTTTTTCGTTCACCTAGTCCTTTTTTTTGCATTGTAACTTGCCATACATGTTCTGAAATAAAATATTACATTAATTTCTCATTACAATTAATAACATATACAGTACTATAGTAATATTATGAAATCAATAAAATAATTATGAATCTACATTTATTTTAAAAAAAGAGCAATAATATTTACTTACTTTGCAATTCATTAAAAAATTGCAAAGTACATGTTTTATAACATAATATATATATGACATATATATATATATATATATTATATAATATATCAAAATATTTGTAAATTATATAAGAATTATTTATAAATTATTTATA